GCAGGGGACAGCAGAACTAACAGATCTGGGTGTGGAGGAGCAATTACATGAGCCGCTCAGGGGTCAAAGGTCCCAGCAGGTGACCCGCTGCAGCCTGCCCAGATGGCTGCCAGGGAACAAGTGTCTGTCACCTGTTCCTAGTGGCTACCCAGCAAGTGGTGGAAGGAAGGCCTTCATTGTAAAGAAGACGCTTCCAGGAAGGCCTACCTCGTAAAGAAGACGCTTCCAGGAAGGCCTACCTCGCCAGGCCCTGGGATGGGACAGGCTGCTGGGGATCATTTGTGCAGCTGAACTTGGCATCAAGGTTTTTTGTTGAGAGAGAGGAAGATCTTCCATTTAATGATTCATACCAAGTGGCTGCAATGGCCAAAGCTAAGCTGATCCAACGTCAAGAGCCAGGAGCCTCTTCCAGGTCTCCCACGTGGGTGCAGGGTCCCAAGGCTTTGGGCCATCCTCAACTGCTTTCCCAGGTCACAAGCAGGGAGCTGGATGGGAAGTGGAGCTTCCAGGATTAGAACCGGTGCACATGTAGGACCCTGTGCGTTCAAGGAGAGAATTTTAACCACTAGGCCACTGCGCTGGGCCCGGCATCAAGTTTTAATCTAGGAGAGGCTGTAGGGAAATTGGCTTATCAGTGTTTCACTGAATCACAATGATAGAGTATCCTACACTACTTTGCTTTGAGCGGGATGAGGACACTTTAATATCTCCAGGAAAAGTTCAAGGGCAAACCCTGGTTAAGATGCTGTTTGAGGGCCAGGCAAGAAGGCTCCGTTGGCCATCTACCACCTCCAAACATTGGCATCCCACATGGGCACAGGTTCTAATCCCGCTGTCCTGCTTCCCATCTAGCTCGCCGTTTATGGCCTGGGAAAGAGTCGAGGACGGCTCAAGTCTTGGGACTCTGCACCCAAGTGGGAGACCTGGAGGAATTTCTGGCTCCTGGCTTTGGATCGGTGCAGCGCCGGTCATGTCTCTCCTAATCCTCTATATCTGATTTTTCCAATAAAAATAAATAAATATTTAAAGAAAATTTGTTTATCTTGTTAATAAAATGTGAAGCCATGCATAAATTTTGGCATCTTCATTTAACTGGCTGAAGACCCTTGGCCATAAAGTCACTTCCTCCTGGATTTTGCAACAGACTTGCATCTCCCTGGTTTCCCAAGATTTGCCACTTCCTGTTTACTCATTAGCTGAGAAAAACCAACTTGAGGAACTCAGAAAATTAGCCTGCCTTGTGCAGTTCCAGCACCCGCCAGGAGAGGGCCTACTGGGGTTTGCCTTCTCCCACCTGTAGCAGCGTGCAAGCCAGATCACACCAGACAAGCCTAGGATGCACTAAGTCGTTATTAACCAAGATTGGTGGTAACAGGGCCCACCAGAAATAGCAAATCATAAGTCCACCCAGCAATTCAGTCCATCGAAGCCCAAACAGGAACAAATGCTCATTACCCTGAAGTCCACCTGTTACGCTGAAGACCTTTGGCCCAGCTTCCCCAGCAATAGAAGTTATCCTGAGACACACCGCAAACAACCTGGGCACACAAACCTGCAGACATTCACCTGTCCTGGCCTCTCTACCCACATTCCATTACAGCTAGACTTTGCCTCTCCTGGAACTCCTGAAAGAACACGAATTAGAAATACAAAACATCTTAGCAGTGAAGAGAGGGTGAGGAATACAGACACACAGGGGCCATGCGCGGGGGCTACCTGCCCTCGGAGTCTGTCCACCGGAAGCCAGAGAGCAGGTGCTGGGCAGGCCAAGTGTTGGAGTGCCACTAATAGGCAACGATGGGCGGAGGGAACACCTCAGTGTGTGGAGGGGCGGGGAGAGGAGTACTTGCAAGTTCCTGACCTTGAACTAGCTGCCTACCCTACCAGACCACCCACCAGTTCAGAATGAAAGCCACAGCATGGCGAATGATGGTGCTGACCCCATGCTTCAAGAAACACAAGCATGGGTCCGACACAGTAGTCTAGTAGCTAAAGTCCTCACTTTGCCCGTGCCGAGATCCCATATGGGCACAGGTTAGTATTCCAGCGGCCCTGCCTCCCATCCAGTTCCCTGCTTGTGGCCTGGGAAAGCAGCTGACCCAAAGCCTTGGGACCCTGCACCCACAAAGGAGACCCAGATGAGGCTCCGGGTTCCTGGCTTCAAATCGGCTCAGCACCGGCCATTACAGCTGCTTGTGTTGGGCTCTCTTCTCTCTGTATAGATTTTCAATAAACATAAAATAAGTCTTTAAATAAAAAGAAAAAGAAGCACTACGTATCACTTGTGTGTGGTAAAACAGAGGAGGAAGCCCCAGACATGGAAAAGGATGCCTGGGCACAAACTCCGCGAGCCAGGAGCCGCTGCCCGTACGGCCGAGCTCACAAAGCTGCAGGCTGGGCTGGGAGGCTGCCACCAGCCCCCAGCTGCGGGAGGTTCGGGGTGCCCTCCCAGCCAGGGTTCCCACAGTGCACCCCCACAAAGGGCTCAGCTGGAGAAAGCAGGTCAGGGAGGATCCTCCACACAGGACAACAGTGAAACAGGCTAGGAGGCCCGGAATGGGGAAATGAGAGACCACCCACTCAGAAGCCGCACCTTCCTGGGGCCAGACCAGGTCAAAGCCGGGGATGACCCTACAGGTGGGAGGGGTCCACAACAAGCCCGCAAGGCACAGAAATGACCTTGAGCTCAGAAGTCCCTCCTCCCCCAAGTGTCCTTGGCCTTGGCTGTACGGGAGAACAGCAGGTGGCAGTCAGCAATCAAGGATGCAGTTCAGGCCATGAAGAAACTCCAGGAGAGATTCCAAGGCCTTATCTGATAAGGGCTGCCCTGGGATCCTCCCCGTGCCCTTTGTCCCCAAAGATAAGAGCAGGGAACTCCGCACAGTGACATTACTTTCGTTTTTTTCACCCAATTGAAAGGTAAGAAACAGAGAGAAATGTCTTTCTGTAGGCTCACCCTCACACAACACCAGCAGCAACAGCCAGGAGCCCACAGCTCTGGTGGAGTCCCCCACGTGGTGCCAGGAGCCCACAGCTCTGGTGGAGTCCCCTGCGTGGTGCCAAGTGCCCACAGCTCTGGTGGAGTCCCCCGCGTGCTGCCAGGAGCCCACAGCTCTGGTGGAGTCCCCTGCGTGGTGCCAAGTGCCCACAGCTCTGGTGGAGTCCCCCGCGTGCTGCCAGGAGCCCACAGCTCTGGTGGAGTCCCCCGTGTGGTGCCAGGAGCCCACAGCTCTGGTGGAGTCCCCCGCGTGCTGCCAGGAGCCCACAGCTCTGGTGGAGTCCCCTGCGTGGTGCCAGGAGCCCAGCACTTTAGTCAGCACTTGCAGCTGAGCCGCAAAGGCTGGGCAGCACGTCTAACCCCCATGCCCCAGGTCCTGCCCCGCCACCTTGAATGTTGGCCCAGCACCTGCGCAAGGCACCAGGATTCTCCCAGTGTCCCCGCTGCCCCAGGGGCCGTCTCTCAGCTCTCCACAGCAGTCTCAGGGTCTGCCCTGAGAAATCCAGACCTGGCTCTGGGGTCCCCCTGGCTATTGCCAGGTTTAGTTCTAGTTTTAAAGGTATTTTTTTTTTCATTTTCACCCACTGAACTAGAACTACATGGGAGATGGGTAACTTACTTGTAAAAATAGCTCAGTGTGTCAGTGCTTGTAAGACTTTGAGTATTTTTCAAAAGCAAACGTGAGAAAAGCAGTTAAGGATGGAGAGGAAAGTCTCCCCTGAACACTGAAGTCTCCCTTCCTTTGACATATGCGATTTTCATTTTTGGTTTTTTTCCAAGCCGTTTGCACAGTAATGGACAGTTCGCTCTGACAAATAACAACGCAAACGGAGCCGTCCTTTCAAGCACTCTCACCAAAGCTCAAAGACCAAGAACGCAGCGGGTGCCCGGCCAACCCAAGCCGATGCAGAGGCCCGGGCGGGGCAGAAACAGGGGGAGAGCAGGTGTGGACCACACTGCGTCGGCCCCAGACCCAGAAAAAGAGGGAGGGAAGGGCAAGCCCAGTTCAGTGGGGACTGCAGAACCTGAAGGCAGGCATTCCTTCTATTCAGACTCGAGTAGGTCTCACCACGGGCAAGGTTGAGGTATCTGGACTGGGGGTCTTGAGCTGCCCGCAGCGGGAAGGGAAGCGCACCCAGGGGCGGCGCGAGGCCACCGGGCAGGAAGCGGCTTCCGCTCTGCGCTCAGGATTCTGGGCTTCCTCGGGGACTCACCCTCGGGAAGGCACAGTCAGAGAGCAGCAGCTCCTCGGGGACTCGGCAGGCGCAGCCACGAGGCGGTCCTGAGTGGAGAAGGGCGAGGCTTGCCGGTGTCCCTTCCCAGGGTCCCACACCAGCTCCCACGAAACACGCGCGACCTTGGCTTCTTGGGTCTGCACGAGATGAGGGGGGATGTTAGCTCTCTCCAGTTCCGGGCCCCAAGCACGATGCTCCTGGCACTCCCCGTTCCACGCGGCACTCCGGGGCACCTCAGCCTGCCCAACCCTAAGGCCTGTGGCTGAGACGCGTGAGGCCAAGGTGTGGGGACCCTCGGGGAGAGCCCTCCCACACGCCCTCCTCCTTGCGCACCTGCATGCCGTCCTGTCCTGCCTACCTTAGCAGCGCACCGCGTCCCCACACACCTAGCGAGCGCAGTCACCCACCCCACAGGTGAGAGGCAGCGCAAATCAGGCCAGGGCGAGAGAGCATCCTGCCGCAAGCGACCCGGAAAGCAGAGCCAGCAGCCGCGCCCTGGCCGTCCGGTCCCGCCCCTGGCCGCCAGCCGCGCCCTGCCGGCACGGCGAAGCGGCCAGGACCAGTGGAGGGCGGGAAGCACCGGCTAGAGGGAAGTCCGACCAAGTCTGCGCGCCCCGCCTGCCGCCGGCACCGGATCCCCGCCCGCGGTCACTGCGCGGCCTCGCCTCGCCCGGGTGGCCCCGGCCTGCCTCGGCTCCGCCCCCGGGCGCCCCGGCTCGCGGTGGCGTGGGGCCATTGCCGGGACCCGGCGGCCGCCCTGGTGCTCCTTAAAGCCCCGCAGGTGCAGCCTCCTCCCTGGGGCCCGCGGCAGAGAGCAGCTCGTCCGGGGATCTCAGGTGCAACGAGCGCTCCCCCGCTTCTCCGGCCCCAGACTTCTGGGACCGTCCAGACCTGGGGGCCTCCCGTGGCTGGAGGCAAGCAGAGGTGGCGCGGGAAGGGCCCCAGGCCCCCTGACGCCGGCCGAGGGGTCTGCCTCGCACCCAGGCCGCGCAGGCCCCTGCGCCCGCTACCCCGCGCCGTCCATCCTGGCCCGCCGCCGCCGCGGAGCGCGCAGAGCCGGCAAAGGAAGCGCTGGCGCCGCCCGGCGCGCCCGCTATTCGCACGGGGAGTGCCTGGGGAAGCTCCGCGGGCCGTGGCGCCGCTCCCGCCGCCCCAGCGCCGGCTGCGCCCCCAACCTACAGGTGACCCGGAAACTCACGCCGATGCCAAGGGCCGCTAGCCGGGTCAAACGGAGACCGGAGTGGAAGCGAAAGCGGTGGGCCCCGGTGCCCCCTTAGGGTGCCGATGGCCACGTGCGCGGTCGGAGCTGAGCAGCCGGGGAGGGAGCCGGGGCTCCCGGGGCTCCAGGCAGGTGCGGGGCGGGGCGGGGGCGGGGAGAAGGCACAGCCGGAGCCTGGAAGAGTTTGAGGGCGATATCCGAGTAGGTGGCGTTGGCCCGGGCTGGTGGTGTCAGCGGCCCTAGCCGAGGCGTCTTAACTCTGCCCCGATCCTTGTGCGCGAGCCTCTTCTCTGTCCACGCCGGCCGCAGAAGGTAACAGCTAATGTGCTTCAAAGAGCTGGAGGCCGCGTCAGGGGTGAGTAAGGTGGAATGGGGCAGAGAGCCCAGCCCGGGCCGCCCTCACCCCACACTCCTCCCCACAGCCCCGGCGCTGGAGGCTCCCCGGGACCAAGGCCAGCTTCATGGGAAGGTTGCTCAGCCAGACACCAACCCTTCCCGGGAAGAAGCCGGGGACTCCCCCGTGATTCAGGCTGGACCTCCTGTTTACAGAAAGGGAACCGGCAATGGGACAGTCACTCAGAGCAGGCGTGAGTCATGCGCAGGAGCCAGGCAGGGCCGTGGCTGTCTTACTCTTCTGTGGGCAACTGTGCAGCGCTGCTCACGCGGGCACCTGCCCGGAGCTGGCAGAGAGCTGGCCAGTGCCACTGGCCGAGTGCGTGAGGACAGACCCCTGCAGGCCCCTGGTCCTCAGCTCACCCCCGCAGAGATCGAAAGGTTCTTTGGGCATTCCTTCCCGGGTGTGCCACTGGTACCCATTTTCTCCATTTGCATCTTTTCATTTTCTAAGAGCTTACACAAGAAAACTTTTTTCAATGAGGTCAATTTATTTTCCCAAGAAAAGTCAGATCAGCTAAGGGGCAGTTAGGGTCTCACCCCTGGCTTAACTATCTCATTTCTGACCCTTTCCAGAGCACTCTCCCTAGCTGTTACAAAGAGAATACCAGTTACCATCCCTCAGGGCTGAGGGATGTAGGCAGACACACTGCCTACAGCAATCCCCACGCCAGGAGACTGCAGTTTATCGGAAGGCTGGTGGACCCAGCCAAGGGTCTGCACTCTTGCTTCTGTCTCAGCATCTGCTGCACCCGCTCCCAGCCCTGTGCTGGGAGCCCCCAGCGGAGCCCCGCAGGAGCTAACGGAGTCTCCGTGGAACGTCTCCCGTGGGCGCTCTTGTTGCAGCCACACGAAGGTGCATTCACTGAAATCCCTTCTCTGGCTCTCCGTCCTGTCGGGCCCATCACGCGCTCCTGTTCCTCGCGGGATAATGCTGTCAGTTCTCCCCCCTCCTTTGCTGTAACTGGCCACTGAGGACCCATTCGAACAAGCATCTTGGACGGCGCCATTTCCTGCTTCCCCTTCCCTATAGCTCATGAAATTCCCGCCATTCCAGTTATCCACCAATCAGAATCCCACTCCCCAATCTCTCCCGCCCCTCCTCCTGGTCCCCACCCACCCACCTGTGGCTCAGTCACCAGTCCCTGGGGCCAGCAACGGCCCCTCCCTTCTCCCCACCTCCTCCCTCCAGGCACGGTGGCAAGAGATGTGTCCCTTCCCATTCCCCCTCCCCTGCTCCCGTTCCTACCCTGCTGGAATAAAGGGCCTACTAAGCACCTTGCTGCGTCTGCAATTTGGGCTTGCCGTGAACTAATCGTGAAGAGAGGAGTTGCCTGCGGATCTAGCTGCTTGTAACAACACAAGAACTTGGAGAGCACATAAAACCTACCAGTCAGCATGATGGAACCGCACTCCAGCACCCCGCCTCCGCCCCCTCCTCTTCCAGCACGCTTCTCCCTTTTTTAAAACTCAGGTTTTCCATGCTGGATGCTCACGTCAGTGATGAACGCAGTCGCCTTCCTGTCTGGAGCCATTCTGGTTTCAGGATCAAATTGCTGTGGCGTTTTCAGCCCTGAATATGGCAGCAACCTCAATTCTTGTCTTGCAGGAAAGAAAAATTTTCATGTGGACACAGTTTAGTTTTAAAGCAAGATTTATTAGAAAAGTTGAGAAGAGAGACTCAAACTTTCCTCCTCTCTGTATATCCGCCTTTCCAATAAAAATAAATAAATCTTTAAAAAAGAAAAAAAAAAACCTATCCCCTTGGCAATAGCCGCAGATAAAATTGGGCTGGCTGTTCAGGTGGAGAAGTTGATATTCATGCGCTCTTGTCTCTTGGAGAAATGTGCTCTGCTGAGAAAGTACCATTTCATATTTGAGGGGGAAAAAAAAAAGACTCGGGACCAGAATCCCCTAACAGCCCAGGTCAGTCCTTCAAGATCAGTGGAGCTCCTCGGTCCGCCCAGGTCAGGTTCCTGGGTGGACCCTCTGGCTGGGACCCACTCCCGTGACTGGATCATCCCCAAGTTCCTCACATTTCAACTCAGGTTTCAAAAGTAGCCTTGGGAGAGGGTCCCTGCACCTGCCAGTCTGCGTTCTCATGGAGGCGTGGCAGTGGGGCTCCCGAGCTTAGCAGCCCACTGTGCGGGTCTTCTGGAGAAGACGGGGGTTTGTTTTGAGAGCGGAGTTAGACTGGGTAGGAGGCAGTTAGGGTATTCTGGGTCCCCAAGTCATCATTTTATCCCTCAGATACAAAGGTATTTCCCCACGTCTTGCATTCACCAGAGCACTTTTCTCCCAAGACAAGTGCATATTTTAACAGGTCCAGAATGCACTTCCCCAAGAGACAAGGCGACATTAACATACCAATTCCCCACCTGAAGTGTCGGCCCATTGCCAAGGGAATAGGTTCACACTGGCCTCTTTATCATTCAAAAGCAACTGAGGAAGTAGCTGGTGACACCTTTTGTCCCAGGGCCAGGCACCATGGAAACCAGGAATTCTCCTTTGTGGAGAAACATCTTTGAAGTGAGCCTTTAAAAGATGCTATCCCCACCATTAACGCCGGCTTTTCTTTTTCTTCCCTCCCCCTACGGCGGGGGCCGAGGGTCCCTGCTCTCTTGAAGCCCCTCCCGGCACCAGGATGGGAGCTCCTTTTCCCAGCTTGTCTAATAAATCCTGCTAAACTGTCCCCATGAAAGTTCTTTCCTGCCACACAAGAATTGAGCTTGCTGCCGTATTCTGGGTCGAAAACCTACAACATTTTCAGACAAGTCCATCTTCTGATCCCCCACAAAGGCTCGGTTCACTGGTGAACTTGGGCTTTCTAGCGTGGGGACCACACGCCTTGGCAAGGTGGCGCAGAGCCTCCCTGCACCCCCTCCAGGACACCTGCTGTGGGCTCCAGCTTGCCACTCTTGCTTCTGACACTGGATGCTGCTGCTCTGCCTGCCTCACGTCTGCACTCCCAGACCTGGCTCTGTCAACATGGGCGGGTGATGGGGTCCTGGGAAGGCAGTGTTGCAGGAAACTGGATTCAAAAAGGCAACAGCAGGGCCCGGCGCCATGGCCTAGCGGCTAAAGTCATCACTCACCTTGAACGCACCAGGATCCCATATGGACCATTTCTTATCCAGCTCCTTGCTTGTGGCCTGGAAAAGCAGTCGAGGATGGCCCTGCACCCACATTAGGAGACCTGGAAAAGGATCTGGGCTCCTGGTCGTTGCAGTCTCTTGGGGAGTGAATCATCAGATGGAAGATATTTCCTCCTCCTCTCTGTGTATATCTCATTTTCCAATAAAAATAAATAAATCTTTTTTAAAAAAGGCAAAAATAGCATCATTTATTGTTTCACACGAAAGATTTTTTTTCTTTTTTGAAGATTCATTTATTTTTATTGTAACGACAGGCATACGCAGAGGAGGAAAGACATAGAGGAAGATCTTCAGTCTGATGGCTCACTCCCCAAGTGACCGAATGGCCAGTGCTGTATCCATCCAAAGCCAGGAACTTCTTCCAGGTCTGCCACGCACCTAGCTGCAGGGTCCCCAGAGTTCCTCCAGGGCCCTCGGAACTGAGGATGGGAGGACGAGGGGGGTGGGGGAACCAGTGGGCCACTGTTTCTTCCATGGTGGTCCACTATTTTCTCGACACTTGCAGCCCCTTCTCCCAGCACTGCTGTCAGGTGGCTGGGGCGACCTAAGGGCGTGGTCACCTTAGCATCTCACTGAAGCTGCAAATTCCAGGGGAGTGCGTGCTGAGTTCACTCTGGGACACAATGCCTGCAGGAAGTCGGTGTTTTAGTAACGAATTAAACACACAAAATATGAAGCTACATTTTAATGTTAGTGAAAACAACAGTTATAAGTGTACTTGGTCTGATAATTCAGAAGTTTGTGTTAATGCTACCCCATCAGATATGAAACATTTTTACTCAGATATAAAATGATAAATGTAATGTCCTAGGACTCAATTTATGCCAAAAGTTATCAGCAAAAATTTGTAAATAGCAAGTGTTGTGATATTTTCTATTTGATATTTAAAACTTTAAGGCATCAATAAAATATTTATCTTAATATAAACTATATCACTATATTCTGAAATTACTGTTTTTATATAAAAATTATTACTTTTTCTACAAAGATTACAAGACCAAACCACAAATGAGGCTTGTAGCTGGTCCTGTGAGCTTCCTGGGGTCGGACAGAAAAGCCACGGACAGCAGCATGAGCAGGCGGCGCGGTGAGCTGTTGGCGGAGCAAGCTCCCCACACCCTGGGACGTCGCCAGGCCAGCACGACCAGGGCTTCTATTAACTGACCACGTGCGTAACGCCTCCAGAGAAACACGAACGAAACCGCACCGTGGGAGCCGCATGGAGTCCCTGCAGCGCTGAAGATCCCGAGACGCCACGGGGACGCAGCAGAGCTCTGGCCCAGGCATGCTAGTCGGCCACAGAGGACTCCTGCGCGGGCTGTGCTGGCTCAGACGGGCTTGCCGCTGGGCCTGCGGGCAGAGTACACAAGGAACAGAAACAATGTCACCCACCACCATTGCGCAGGAGGAAGCACGCGTCTGGGGGTCAGGATCACGGCTGCCGTCTACCGAAGCCTGAGCGCCGTGGCACAGAGATCCCCGTGCGGCGCGCTTGGCCGGGCTGCCGGGGCGGTTCAGTCCCACGTGAGGGCCGCTGCCTCGCTGCGCTGAATGACAACAGCGCAGCACTGTTTCAGTAGCGTTTGAAATAGCGTCTGCCCATTCATTCCTGATTAAAAACTCCGTGAATTAGGACCAGAGCGTGCCCCAACACAATGGGGGCCACGGCTGAGCAGGCAGCAGCTGTCAGTCATCTGCTGAAACACTCAGAGTTTTCGTTTTAATGTCAAGAAAGAGGCAAGGATGGCCATCCTCGCCACTCGTGTTGAACACAGCCCGGGCCAGAAGCAGTCAGGCCAAGTAAGGGAGCAGAACCGATGGTGAGAGGAAAGAAGCGAAATGACAGCTCGGTGACAGAGAAAAGCATATGAATTCTGCCCAATGTTGTTAGCGTGTTGATTTAGTACACTGGAGGGATACAACATCAGTGTATTAAAATCAGTGATACGGGGCCAGCACCATAGCTCAACAGGCTAAACATCTGCAAGTGTCAGCATCCCATGTGGACACTAGCTCATGTCTCAGATGCCCCACTTCCCACCCAGCTCCCTGCTTGTGGCCTGGGAAAGCAGCTGAGGATGGTCCAAAGCCTTGGGACCCTGTCCCGCCCCCCCCAGGGAGACCTGGAAGAGGCTCCCTGCTGCTGGCTGCTGGCTTTAGACAGGCTCAACTCTGGCCAGGCAGACATTTAGGGAGTGAACCAACCAGTGGAAGAGCTTCCTCTAAGTCTAACTTTCCAATGAAAATTAATAAATCTTTAAAAAACAATTAAAGGTATGTTATACACCAGTAACGAGCTATCTGAAAGGAAATTAAGGAAACAATCTCATTCATAGCGCAATTAAAAAGAAAAAATTCTTAGGAGTAAATTTAGCCAAAGAAATGGAAGCATATACACAGAATACCATAAAACAACTTAAGACAAATGGAAAGACGAGACATGTTCATGGATTGGAGCTATTAATATTTAAAATTCATGATATTCAAAGTGAGCTATAGACTCAATGCAACGCTTATCAAAATTCCAGTGACTTTTTATAGAATCAGAAAATTTATCCTAAAATTCATAAGGGATTACAAAAGATGCCAAATAATCAAAGACATCTTGAATGAAAAGAGCAAAATGTCTAACTTCAAAATACATTACAAGGCCGGAACGGTCAGAATGGCGTGGCAGCGGCCTACAGACAGGAACACAGGTGCACAGACGGGATGGCGCTCAGGAATAAGCTCACCTGTGAGGAGGGTCATCAAGGACAGAGGCCTGAAAGGACAGGCGCCTTGGCTTGTGGTGTGGGGGGAACAGACATCCACACGCAGCAGCGCAGCCGGCCCCTCGCCTCAAGACACACACAAAAGTAAACTAGAAACAGATGTAAGACAACAGAGACTGGGGCAGTAAAATTACTGGAGACATCGGAGAAAAGCTCCTCAACGTGGGGCAGGACCCCAGAAACCGGTAACAAAAGCAAAACAAATGAAGACAGTCCACAGAATGGAAGGAACCATCTTGAAAATCACATACCTGATGAGCCATTAGGATCCAAAACATAAAATAAACCCAGCCACCTCAGTGACAAGTCAAAAAATGGGCCGAGAGCCTGAGTGGGCACCTCCCCTCGACAGGCTTCCAGATGACCCAGGAAATGCGTGTCACAAGGACCTCCAGGTCACACTCGGGAGGACGCAGGGCAAACAGGATGCCCACCGCCTGCTGGGAAGGAACAGAGACTAGCACAGCCATGGTGAGGAGGAGCTTGGAGCTTCCTTGGAAAACCCACAGGAAGACTGCAATATAACCCCGCAACCCGGCTGCCGGGCGTCCAGCCAGCATGTGAAGTCACGTGTCGGCCAGACAGCTGCACTGTGCGGCTGCTGGAGTGTGATTCACGCTGCCCAGGAGTTGGACTCGAGCTCTGTATCCACCACGGGGTGAATGGATCAAGACGTGTGGCATACACACCACGGTGTGTGAGTCAGCCTGCAGCACAAGGACTTTTCATTGTCTCCTACAATATGCAGGAACCTGGGGGTCATTAGGCCACGGGGAAAAGGAAGATACAGAGACAAATCCCACACACTCGCTCCAGTGCTAAAGGCGTCCACTTCCCAGCGTTAACCAGAGCGTGCTCGCCCGGGCTGGGGAGGGTCGGGAGGCCGTGATCAGGGGACACAGCTGCAGCCAGGCCAAGGGCAAGCCCCGCATGGCGGGTCAGCTGCCGCTGATGACCACACGCGGTCAAGATGAGCCGAGGGGGACAGCTGACCCGCCCCGCCCCGAGAGCACGCCAGGTTGCTATGAGGAGTGATTTAGCTCGATTCACTCCACAGTCACAAAGGAGTCCTTTTCACATTATGAAAAAGCTAACCATGGATTTCAATATTTTTTGCACCAAAATAAATACCTTTTGATTTTGTATTCCATGAACTTGTTAAAAAAAAAAAAAACAAACTTCTCTGTTTAAAGACAAACAGGAAGCGAGGGCTCCTGTCTGTTCATCCCCTAAATCCTTGAAATGGCTGGGACTGGGAGAGCTGAACCCCGAAGCAGGAGCCAGGAACACAGGCCAGGCCTCCCTCATGGGCTGCAGCTGAATCAGTCATCTGAGACGTCAGCTGCTTCCCGGGGACATCAAGCTGGAGCTGACTGCAGGTGTGGGTCTCCAACCAGCACAGTGAAACGGGGTGCCGGCCTTGCAAGCGGCAGCTTAGCCCGCTGTGCCACACCACCAGCATTTCACCCTTGAACTTTCTGAAATATCCTTGTACATACGTCAAATGTGTACCACATTGCATTTATAGTCATTAACTGTCGGTTAAAAAGTAACTGAAAATACGCAGGGCTGCTCCCATGGCTTTTGCTTCTCTTTCCCATTATTTAAATCTGCTTGGCTCATAGTGTGAGTGTGAAAATGCATGTCCATGAACTGAGCTGTTTTCTGCCATGTAATTACACGTGGGCAGTCGCTGGGTGGACACGCGTGGGCTCTTGTGGACTTGTGACATCACTATAATCCCGGCATCCTTAGAAAGTGTTGGGGCTGGCTCTGTCGCACACTGGGCTGTGGTGCTGGCATCCCACATGCATCCAGTTCAAGCTCTGGACGTTCTTCCCATCCAGCTTCCTGCTAACACAGCCGGGAAAACTGCAGGGGACGGCCCAGCGCTCAGCCCCGCACCCGCCTGGGAGACCTGGGAGACACTGCTGCCTCACAGCTTTGGACCAACCCAGCTCCAATAATTGCAGCCCTCCGGGCAGTGAACCAGAAGATTTCTCTGTGTCTTTCCTTCTCTTTCTGCAACTCTGCCTTTGAAAATTTAAAAATATAATACAAAACCAATAAACTGGGACCAGGCATGAGCTTCGGAGTCTGGAGTGGGTGGGGCAGGTGGCCGGCTGCCAGGATCTCCCAAGTAGAGGCCGGGTCACGGGTTTCCGGCTAAGACACGACACGCACGCCTTCTGATCAGGACGGCTCTCTATCAGTACTCACTTGGAGGAGGAGACTCTGCAACAAAGAACACACGCACAGTCACCGCAGCTCACAGAACACGCACGGTCACTGCAGCTCATGGAACACGCAGTCACCGCAGCTCACGGAACACGCAGTCACCGCAGCTCACGGAACACGTAGTCACCGCAGCTCACGGAACACGCATGGTCACTGCAGCTCATGGAACACGCACGGTCACCACAGCTCACAGAACACACATGGTCACCGCAGCTCCCGGAACACGCACGGTCACTGCAGCTCACGGAACACGCACGGTCACCGCAGCTCACGGAACACGCATGGTCACCGCAGCTCACGGAACACGCAGTCACCACAGCTCACAGAACACGCACGGTCACCGCAGCTCATGGAACACGCACGGTCACCGCAGCTCATGGAACACGCTAATCGCGAAAGAAGGACAAATGGTGTGTGTGCATTAAAGAACAGCAAGTTGCTATGCAGTGCTGCTGCTTTCCAACCACATGGAGCTTGTCACCTAGCTCTCAAAGGCCTCGGCTCAGTCACGGCCGGGGACCGGCAAAGCAGAGGGCTGGTGGGCTGACAAAAACTCACACCCAGCATCCTTAGCCAGAGGGGCACAGCTTTAGGAGCAGGCACTGTGCGCTAAGCTGCCGCCAGCAGCACAGCAAGCCTTACGGGCACTGGCTCTGGTCCAGGCTGCTCCATTTCCCATCCAGCTCCCTGCCAGTGTGTGTGGGAAAGTAGCAGGGAATGGCCAACATGTGTGGGCTCCTGAATTAATGTGGGCGACCCGGATGAGTTTCAGGCTTCTGCCTTTGGCCTAGCAGATGGATCACTTCTCTCTCTCTAACTCTGCCTTTCAAATAAATAACACAACAACAAGAAATGTTGCCCAGAGATGTGCAGTCAGTCCTATCACTAACAAGGTTATGGAAGCAAGCACAGCCCTCGCACATGCCCCCAACCCGAGGCTGATGCCCTGCAACTGGGACCGTGGCCAAGAAAGGACACACCAGTGATGCTGACACTTGCTTGGAGTGCAGAGAGAGCCTTCCAAAGTGTCAGAAGTGCCAGCCCTGCTCAGCTTCACAGCGTGCGTTCTGCTGGGGAGCACCAGGGAAGGGCCGGTATGCCACCCAGGGCTAAGCCCTGTGGGTCAGAAATGGCCTGGTTCCACAACCCGGTTTGGGATCACCCCTTTTTTTAACAAACAGAAACAAGAAACTCTAGAAGCCACAACTTTTGCTGTGTCCCAATGTCACCAAGAAAAAGCCACATGCCTGTGACCTGCAGACTCCAGGCTCCAAAGGACGACTCTAGGTCACAGTAAGGTTGCCCAGAGCTGCAGGGGCCTGCTCCCTGGCAACACTCACCCATCCCCTCACCTGGTACTCTCTCGGAGCCCTCGGGGACCTCTGGCTCCTGGCGCGATTCTGTGTCCTCTGGTCCCTGGGGCTCCGCAGAGGACCGCGTCGCCGCCACCTTCACAGTCCTCTTGTCCGAGTCAGCACGCTGCTGCAACCACTCATCCTTATAACCATTGCTAATAAGTTTGGAAAAGTTTGTGGGTGAACTGGCTTTTTGGCCAGGCCTCAAAAAGAGAGAAATCAGTGTTAAAACGTGAGTACATAGGTTAATGTGATATGAGCCAGACAGTCTGATGACGTGGGAGTGACCCCCAAAACTTCACACAGTGCTCGCTCTCCATCTCTCTCACCTTCCCTACTTCCAGGCATAAGGAGGTGTACTTCAACGCATCCTTGTACATGAACGAGAGCACATCTGGTCTGTTTCCAAGCCCCACAGTTAAGTCCAGAAGGCTAACGGCTCCAGCCCCTCACTGGGAAGCCTGCGGAGGGTGCCCTGGTTTCCCAGTGGTTACAGATGGCTGGGGACTGCCCCACCTTTAAACACGTGACTGCTGTCAACACAGTTCCCTCCTGGCTGAGGGTTACCTGGCACTGATCTGCACAGCTGACTCTGCTGCTCCTGGCTTCATATTTGGCCACCTGCCACCCCTTCACAAACAGCCACGCTTCGCGGCAGGCAGGTAACAGATGTAAGGCCGTTTCTCTCGTGTCACTCTGCTTCTATGAATGCCCCCAGCAGTTCCACATCCCCGTCCCCCGACACGCATCCCAGTCTGAGCCCTCATGGCATTTGTCCCACTGACAGTCTGAAGAACTAGGCGATAGGTGCCATCTACTCTAGCAGCAAACTGCCATCTGGGAAGGAAAGGAGACATGGCAGGTGGGCAGGGTGGCATCCCTCCCCAGCTGGCAAGCTCACAGCCAGCCAATGTCTAACGTGCCCCTTATTTACCCACAGAGCCAGCACGCCCACCCATGCCTGGGCACAGGCCCTAGACATTCAGCTGTGATGTGGAGGGAGAGGGGTTGGGAAGCAGAGCAGGCTGCCAGGGCGCCATGGGCTGGGTGGCAGGAAGCGGCCAGAGTTGGGGCAGCCCGGTGGTAAGACACGAAAACCAGCCGGCCTGTGAAGGACTGGGAAGGTCAGCCACTCACATGGGAGGGAAGGACAGTCTGCTTCCTGCAGGCTCCTTGGGGCCCGGCGGGGTCCCCACTTTGCTGGGATTCTTGGGATGAATGGCTGGTAGCTTGACCTGTGCAAGGAAACGCAACACGAGGGGTTGGAGCCAGGCACGCGGCAGCTCAGACATGGGGTGGGCAGACCAGAGTGGGCATGTAGGGAGCCGCCCATTGCGCCCATCAGCAGGTACAGCCCAGCCATGAGCTGCAGCCAGCATGATCTGCACAGCCAGCATCCCAGGCAGCCACAGAAGGAACCCACAAGCCTCCCACAGAAAGAGACCTATCTAAAAAATAATATGGTAGGAAACCATCCTACCTTATGAAATCAACATCTATTAAAAAAGTCAAGAGGACGGCAGCCACCCAGGCCTGGAGCTCCAACCCCAGGACCAGAGCGTGTGCCTGAGGTCACGGGGACCCTGGCCCAGCCCAGCGGCTGACAAGCATGCCCGCCTGGGACGGAGGGATGGAGTGGCCACATCTGTGGCCTTTGTCACCTTCTTTTTGGTCTTTTCGAGCTCCTCAGCCTCCCTCTGCCAGACGGTTTTCATGTCGAAGTCAAAGGGCCCCCTTCTGGACTCGTAGCTGCCGTTGGCCTGCTTAGGGTTGAATTCTTCGTAAACCATGTAGTCGGGCATGGAGACCACAGGGACCCTGCGGGGAGGATGGCAGACAGGTGAACCTGGAGCTCCCCGCTACTCCCTGTACTTTACAACCTCAGGTCTCTCCCTCCCCTCACTCAGCTCCTGCTCCAGGACCCCCAGGACTATCCAGACTGGAACCACAGAAACGCAGTGTTCACAGGACAATGCCTTCTGTTCCCACTGCTGAAGCAGGCACCTGCAGAAACAAGAGGGCCACACAGCGTGCCCTGGTGGACTCTACCGCACCCTGCTCTGCCTGGTTCCCAACTCACGGCCATGGCCAAGGCCGATGGCAGAGCTGAGCCGTCAGTACACTGCAGGGAGCGCATTAGTTTCCCAAACCACAGGGAGCTAGAATCCTAAAGACAAAAAGGATGCAAGGACCCTGAGCAGAACACTTGGGTGACGGTGGACAGCGCCTGCACACAAACTCACGGCGCCACTAAAGTCCCCTGGGAGGCCGCAGGGTGCTGGCCCAGACAGGAGCATCCAGACACTGGCCACACCGTGGGCAGCCCTGTCATCACCCGAGAGTGTCCCGTGTCCCTGATGCACCTCTCCTCTGTAATGGGACAGACCTTGAAGTCCGGGTGTTGTGGCTCCCCCGGGGCATCTCCAGGCCCTGGGGGTCCCCGCTTCCCCACATCCCCCCAAGGGCTGGAGCTACCAGAGGCACATACCGCACCCCTAAGGCAAGCTCTCAGTGAGGTGAGGGACTCACACTGCACCCAAGATCAGCCCTTTCCTCCTCCTGTAACCACGAGCAGGAGAGTTGAGGCCGGGCACACTCACGGGCGCTGCATGGCGGTAGGCGGCTTGCTGTGGTGGATGTACCAGTCAGGCAGGGAGTAGGCCATGGGGGTGCCCATCGTCGAGGTCCCAGGGGGAAAGTGCTTCAACAGATCTCAAAATGAAAGAAACAGGGCTGTGAAGGGGGGCAGCACCGCTGGGTTGGCACTAGGCTAGTGCCTGCTGCCCAGGGGGCTGCCTCCACAGGGGCTGGCAGGTGCAGGTCCCACTTGGCGCTCTGGCAGGGACGTCCTGAGGGTCTCCCAGTGCCACCCCTCTCTCTTCCTGGATCTAGTCAAACCCCTGACTCAGGGCTGCCATCTCTGCTGGCCATATCTTTCAGCTCCTGCACTTGTGAGACCTCCAGGGGCAGCACCTGCTACTCCCTACCCCCAGCTCCCTCCAGGCCCATCTCCTCCTCAGCTGCCCTCCCGGCATGGCCATTCCTGATGGAGCATGGGGTGAGGGGTCATCTGGGCATGTGTCAGTCATGGGCAGCCAACCCAGAGCCCAGGTTTGCCCTCAAGTTCTGCGCATTTCTCCTCTGCTAGCCACAGGCAGGGGGTGGGAAGTGGCATGTACAAGCCCACCTTGCTCACTTACTGTCAGGAAGCAACGCCTGGGCTTTCCCTCCCTGCCCTTAAAACCTTGGCACGCTCTGTGCTCCAGACTTAGGGTGGCGAGCGCAGTGTGCGCTGTTCCACAGCCTACCCAGTGTCCGGTCCCTCAGTACTGCGGCCCCCACCCCTCCGTGGTGGGGCAGGAGTGCTGGTAGAACACCCCTTGTCCCTCCCCATGGTGGCTGTCTCCTAAGGGGCGGCTCGGCACCATCACAGCACAGCGAACAGAATCAAAGCTCCTTCTGTCTGATTCAGAATTTATTCAGATTCTCCACTGGTCCCAGCAATGTGCTTCTAGATAGTGGCAGGGGAAGGAGTGTCCAAGGAAGCAAAACCCCCAGTCCTGCCTCACCTGCTTCCCTTGCAGCCAATCAGATGGCTTGGCCCAGCCACCTGCTTCCCTCGCAGCCAATCAGATAGTTTGCTCCAGGTATATAATTGTATCTATTTTCTTCATTTAAAAGGCAGAGTGACAGACAGAGGGATACCCAGAGATCTTTCATATCTGGCCACAAAGACTGGAGCTTGGTCAGCAGAAGGCAGGAAGAAGCCTTCAGCCCTGCCTGGGTCTCCCACATGGGTGCAGGGGCCCAAGGACTTGAACCAATTGGCAGGGAGCAGGATTGGAAGCGGAGCAGCTGGGACTCAAACCGACCCTCTGATATGGATGAAGGGCATCACAGACAAAACCTTACCTACAGCGTGCCATGCTGACCCCTGACTGGGCATTTTCGTATCAAAAGTATGATACGACTGTTTCCCTCTCCACTTCCGTCTGTCTTTCTCCAGAATATGTTTCTGCGTATGTGGCTCGGCCCAAGGACCAGGCAGGGGCACTGGGATGTGCCCCCCAGGATCGGTGACTGTACCCGCTGCATTTCCTTAACTCCACCCTGTGTGAGAGCCAGTCTCCATCAGGGCAGGCCACGGGGCACGGTGGGCGAGGCTGCCCCGTGGGACACCCACGTCCTGAATGAGGGTGTCTGGTCCCAGTTCCTGCCACATCTCTCGTCTGGGAGCCAGTGGACAGTGCCTCAAGTACACCCACGGAAGACCAAATGGGCTTCTGGCCGCTGGTTTCGGTCGGCCTGGGCTCTTTTGCAGGCAACTGGAGTAGGAACCAGTACATGTAAACTCAATCAACCCACAATTTCCTCTCTCTCTTGCCCTTGCTGTCATTCTGCCTTTCAAATAAATACATGGGGCCCGGCACAGTAGCCTAGTGGCTAAAGTCCTCATCTTACATGTACCAGGATCCCATATCAGTGCTGGTTCATGTTCCAGCGGCTCCACTTCCCATCCAGCTCCCTGTTTGTGGCCTGGGAGAGCAGTGGAGAATGGCACAAAGCCTTGGGACCCTGTACTTCTGGCTTCGAATTGTCTCAGCTCCTGCTGTTGTGGCCACTTGGGGAATGAATTAGCGCACAGAAGATCTTTTTCTCTGTCTTTCCTTCTCTCTGTAAATCTATCTTTCCAATAAAATAAATAATTTCTTAAAAATCAAATAAGTACAGGGCCTGATGCAGCAGCCTAGTAACTAAATTCCTCATCTTGTACACTCCGGGATCCCATATGGGCACCAGTTCTAATCCCGGCAGCCCCGCTTCCCATCCAGCTCCCTGCTTGTGGCCTGGGAAAGCAGTTGAGGACGGCCCAAAGCCCCGGGACTCTGCACCTGTATGGGAGACGTGGAAACCCTTGGCTCCTGGCTTCATATTGGCTCAGCTCTAGGGAATGAATAATCAGACAGAAGATCTCTCTGTCTCTCCTCCTCTCTGTATATCTGACTTTCCAATAAAAAATTAAAGAAATCTAAAAAAAATCAAATAAATATATACAATATTTGTAGCATGTGTCGTCATTAACATCTTCCCATCAGCAGCCATCAGGATTACAGCACGGTCACACAACGCCAGGGGATAGGAAGCAAAACCTTCTCCCAGTTAGGACTGGGGCAGCGAGCCTGAAGGCACAGAGGTGGGCTGCCCAGGGGTGGCCAGCGGGCAGGAACTGGACAGCAGGGCTGCCACTCACCCCTGGGGAGCACCGGGAAGCAAGTGCTCACACTGCCACTTCTGTGAGCTCTAAGTCAACGCGGCGCTGGGTCAAGGATGTCAGCTCGTTCTCAGGACCACACACCTCCCAGCCCGACCCGGGCAGCCCTGATTTCCAAAGGCCAGGGACATTTTTAAAAGCAATTTCCTATGGAAGAAACTGAGGATGCGTTCTCCCCACCACACACTCACCAGGCCTGCCGCCCTGCTTGGCCAGCTTCACGTACTCCGAGTCTGTTTCCTTGATCCAGTATCTCCGAGCTCCTGGCAGGTTTCCGCTCGGGGAGTCTCCCAGGTCGCTGAGCCCTGGGATCTGGGACGCTGGGGGGGCATCCACGGGCTTCTCGGAGCGCTTGGCTGGCAGGTGGTAATACCAGTCTACGCAGCAGGGAGACCAGGGGACAGCTGCATCAGGGCTGGTGGCGGCTCCAGGCCCCTCCAAGCCCGTGCAGTGACACGGCCAGGACAGCATGCATCACCAAGCACAACCGCCCTCTTGGGCAGCCTGCCCACATCCTCCTCACGGCAGCCCCGACTCCAGCGTCCTGCAGACACCAAGCGCCTGAACCTGCTCCCGTGTCTCTGCCAAACCCCCACCTCCCACCCTGCTTCCCAGCCTGCTCCCCCAGGGTTAGCTTCCTAAGGAGGCATGCCGCCAGCTCCTCTCAATCCCCTATAAAGCAGACTGAACTACACTTCTGATTGTGTTGAGGAATTCAGAGATGTGAGCCTGAGAAGGCCCAAACCACTTAAATACGTTGCAATGTGCAGCAGGTTCTAGGAAAAAGGATTTATAAATTCACGTTGGTGTAAAACACCCTGAAAGCCTCGCACAGTTTGTAACAACACACGTTTAACAGACCCTTGTAAACCTGTGGAATTTGTGGTCAAATCATCCATGTGTTAAACGTTTTGCAGTGTAAGTTCTGTCTGAGAAACTGCAGCTGCTGGGGGAACTTGTCCGCTGATGTTCCAAAGGAGGGAGTCGCAGCACAGTCAGGGACTGGAAGCCACCGCATCTGCCAGCCGCTGCACCTGCCTTCTGCAATGCGCAGGGCCGCTCCCGCCGGGGCTGCACCTGCATCTGCTCCAGGCGGGGCAGCGAACAGTGCCAGAACCCCAGAGAGTACCGGAGATGGATGGAGTCAGATGGGGAACCTGCTCAGGCCTGAGTCCTAACAGGCCTGGGAAATGTCTGAGTGTGGACTGTGTGACACCGTGGGCATGGCAGCACGGGAAGAGGGGACCAAGCAGCAGGAAGTAGATGGCAGCCCTTTGCATGCCTTGCCTTCCCACTGCGTCACCTCTGCCTAGAGTAGACAGGGGCCATGGACAGCTGTGTACTGCTCTGGGCCTGGTGAAGCTGTGCGGCCCCTGAGGCCCAGAGCTGAATGCAGCTGGGGCAGTAGACCCCTGGAGACTCCGAGTCCCACCCCGGAGAGGCAGGGCTGGGGAGACCCCGGAGACCTGGAGTTTGCTTCTTTAGGACCCGAACGAGGGGCCAGGTCTGCAGACAGTGCAGCTCCCGGTGCTTCCCTCCAAGTAGGCAGCAATGCATTCGCTGGGAGCCCAGAAGCAAGGGGAGGGTCCCCTGGCTCACTGCAAACAGGAAGACCAAAAAACACAAAAGGCATTGAGTGGTCCACATGGCACGTGTGCACGTGCAGCGGGGGTGACCTTGGCTGGGCTCTGCAGGGCGCATAGTCAGAACTCAAGGCATTTAGGGCCTTGCATGAGGCCCCATCCACAGGAGTGCAGGGTGTGCAGAGGCTGGGCCATGGTTCCCAGGGCTAGACCCTGCATGATCCCAGTTGTGAATATGAACCAGGTAAGAACAGCATGTAAGTCAGAAGTGCAGGCAACCCTCTCCAAAGTACTGGGTCTCTGCAATCACAGAGGGTCTGAGAGAAAAGCTGAGGTCCCCAGAGGAAGTGGGGCTGTGTCTCCAGGCGGCCTGCTTGCTGGGCAGTGGCATCGGCTGTCTGCCAGACTCCGGCCACGGGCCACCTCTGCAGACCTCTCCATTGCCACATCACAATCATGGGAGCCCATCCTTTCTGTCTGCATGAGGGAAGTTCAAAAGTTTGTGGAACGCGCAGAGCTACTCATGGATCCCAACACGCTCCATACCAAGACAAGCTCCAAGCACCACGCCACTCTGCCAGTCATCCTGCGGTTTCCACCGCCCCACGGCCGGCAGGCTGAGGGTGGGTGATCAGTGGCTGCTAGGTCAGGTCCTGCCAGGCAGGCACAGAAGCAAGGTGCAGACTCCTTTGGTGCTGAGCGCCTAGGTACCTCCGTCCGCTCGGCACCGAAGGCTCCATCATCGAGGGGAGTGGCGCTCACCTGCACCTGCAGTGTCCACTGGCTGACCAGCACTACCTGGCCTGGGCAGAGGCTGAAGCACAGCACAGAAGAGCTTGGCAACGTGCAGAGGGAAGGCGTGGAGCTCTTGCCTTATTTTTCCAGCACTGTGATCACTAATTAGTCTACAGAGAGCCGTGCCCCTTCAGCGCCTGCTCATTACTGCAAGCTCTGCAGTCATGTGGAACTGTGTGCAAAGGACAGGAGCAGGAGCCAGCACCGACACGGGTGTGCACACGCGCAGAGGGCTGAGGGGACAAGCCCTCTGTGCATGAACAGTGTCCTGTAACTCCGACCTTGCTAGTCCGTGTGTAACAGACGCCAGGGCCACCCCTGCCCTTGTTGCTTCGTGGACGCAGAGGCTAGCCAGGCCCCACATGGACCAGGAGGTCACAGGGCAGAGCTGTACAGACACACAGGTCTGGCAGGGACGATGGGTGTGTGTGGGGGGCCACTTTCTCTGTGTGTGGCCCTCAGCTTCCTCATTCTCCAAGCAGGGATGAGCTCTGGGCTGGGCAGTGCAAGGGTAAGCGAAGACAGTGCCTGGCCTTACTGGTGTCCACTGGTGTCACCCAGACAGCCACACCCTCTGGCACCAGGTCAACCCAGCTGGAGCAGGGAGGGACACCCCTGCTTTCACTTTAGATGCATGGGGTTCCAGCTGCTGGCCCTACACACTCTCCCCAGCACCTCACAGGCTGCAGAGGAGGGAGGGCAAGCAGAGTGCCCGGCTGCCCTGCTCAGCTCCAGACCCTATGCACGGAAAACTGGCAGCCCCTGGCACCCCACCGCCACACACCCACTCTGTGTGTGGTCTCCAGCCCCACTCACCGCACGGGGCGTAGCGTTGTGAGGAGCCCTGCACCTCCTTGCCAGCGTTCCTCATGGCGCAGGGTCCAGCCGGCCTGGCTCACCTGGAGCTGCGGCTGCCAAAGCAAAGTCCACGCGCCTGCTCGGTCGGCCGCTTCCAGCCGGCCCCCAGCAGCGGCACGTTCACGCGGGACACACGCCAGGAGCACAGACACAAGGAGTACACAGCACGTGCACAGACAGACTGGGTACATAGGGGGCAACTAGGTCAGGTACACTACAGAGCCACAGCATGCAAGACACCTGGAAGGGGCGCGTCCACGAAAAGTTTGTAGAAGTGCCACATCCACGTCGGGTACGCGGCAAGGATACCTGCCCTGCGGTACTGCCCTGGATCCTGCCCGTGCCCACCCAAACCGGGGACAGCGCAGACCCCGCCCGTCCTCCTGTCCCGCTCACCCGCTGGCCCAGGCTCGGGGTGGACGCCGCGGCTCGGTGGCGCGGCGGCTGGAGTCAGGACGCTGCGGCCCGGTGAGGACCAACCCCACATTCCCGGCACTGCGCGGAACCACAACAGCGCACGTCGCCAGGGCAACGGCGGCACAGCCAACCGGCGCGCGCGACGGGTGAGCCGGGGCCAATGGGGGCCGCCTGCGCAGCAGCACTCAGCCCATCGGAGCTGAGGCAGCGCGCAGGCCCCGAGTGCCAACCGCCGGGAGCCAGGGCGGCATGGGGCCGGCAAGTCCCCCGCGTGACGCCCTGTCCCACGGGGAACCCCAGCAGCAGCAGCAAGAGCGGCTGCAAGAGGGGTGAGTGGGGTAACACTGGCATGTACGAGAGGTGCAGAGTTTTTTCGTTAGCGCTGAGAGGGTGGGCAGCGCGAGGGGAGGCCGACAGGCTGGGCCACCTGGATGCTGCCCCGACTGCCCTCGGGGGACCCTCTTCTTGCGTGTCTCCCTTGGGAGTCTGCACCGAGGTCCCCACCGGTATGGAGTTGAATTCTGACTTCACGTTGGTGGAGGTCTGGCCACGCGCTGGGTCGGGGTTTTGCTTCCATGATTTCTCTGGAACCTGGGTCAAGAGTTCCGGTGAGGTCCTGGCGTCTGTGACCCAGCCCCCTCAGTCCCTCAGCCAGCGGCAGCCTTCGGTCTGCGATGACCAGATGCTTGTCCGTACAGCGGCAGGTGTTGGTCACCCAGCAGGGTGGGGGACAGGCCTCTGGGACCAGCAACACCTGTGATGCTTGGCCATTGCATCCACACAGGAGGACAGCAGCTAGATGGGCTGGCCGCTGCCCTGTGGCAGCTGCGACTCTGAGAACGGAGACTCCCTGAGCCTTGCTTGGGAGCAGGTTATGCCTGGGAGTGTCAGTGAAGTCGTAGGTATCTGGGATACCAGCTAAACGGGAGCAGGAGGCAGGAGGAGCCTTTGAGGTGATCCCGGCATCTTGACTGGCTCTGTGTCTCAATGCACCTGCCGTATGCTGCTCCTCTTTGCTGAGCAGGAGAGAATCTGACGCTGTGCTCTGTTGTATCCGGCTGGAACAGCACAGATGAGACATGGAGAACTCGATCTCGTGGCTTCTGTCACTTTGCACTCCGACTTTTGGCTTCCCCACACCTGCCTGCTCTCTGGCTTCCGGTGGACAGACTCCGAGGGCAGGTAGCCCCCGCGCATGGCCCCTGTGTGTCTGTATTCCTCACCCTCTCTTCACTGCTAAGATGTTTTGTATTTCTAATTCGTGTACTTTCAGGAGTTCCAGGAGAGGCAAAGTCTAGCTGTAATGGAATGTGGGTAGAGAGGCCAGGACAGGTGAATGTCTGCAGGTTTGTGTCCCCAGGTTGTTTGCGGTGTGTCTCAGGATAACTTCTATTGCTGGGGAAGCTGGGCCAAAGGTCTTCAGCGTAACAGGTGGACTTCAGGGTAATGAGCATTTGTTCCTGTTTGGGCTTCGATGGACTGAATTGCTGGGTGGACTTATGATTTGCTATTTCTAGTGGGCCCTGTTACCACCAATCTTGGTTAATAAAGACGCCTTAGTACATCCTGGGCTTGTCTGGTGTGATCTCTCTCACCCCCGCAACAGTGTTACATTTCCAGGTGAGTAACACGGCAGGAAAAGGGAAAATAGTTGGGCACCTATTTTATACTGCGTTACTTATAGAAGCCCGTTTATGCAGAAAACAGCAAAGGAGACGTGGAAATGGTGCCTACCAGTGGTCCGGCTGTATTTTTCTGTGGGAAATAAAGGTGAGGGGAGAGATTGGGGGATATTCAGGAGTGATTCATTTTGTTTCTGATAGTGTTGAAAAAGATTGCTAAGGCAGACACAGCAAAACCCAGACTTGCTGGGTCGAAAAGTAGCAGACCTAGAGCCAAGGGCCCTTGGGGTTCAATAACTTTGATGAGTTTGAGGCAGAGGAGCTGTGCTGGGCCAGCCTGGGCGTGGCCACGGAGCTGTGCTGGGCCAGCCTGGGCGTGGTGGCCTGGCCTGCATTGTGAGGCGTCCCGCATGTGATGTAACAGAGGTGGCAGGGGACCCTCCGCACCTGCTTGCGCAGGCTCAGCATTGGAGGGAGAGGTGCCTGTGAAGTGAGAAAAAAGCGGAGACAAGTTGGAAGTCCCTGCTGTGCAGCCCTCGCTGTGCAGCCCTCACTGCCCCTGAAGCCCAATTGTGGAAGCCAGTGGCCGCCAGGCTCCGCTGCCCAGCCCAGGAGGATGAGTGCACGGCCCACGCTGAGGAGGGGTGTGGGGTTCTTCCAGGGCAGCCCTGAGGAAGCCGGCTGCAGTGCCAGCTTCCGGGGCTTGCTCCCCGAACCCGAAAACCCCGAGGCACCCAGGTGGGTAACTACGGGACGATGTGCCTGAGCAGTCCGTCCAGTTGGCAGCGTCCATCATGTGTGCGCTGCTTACCTGGGCACTGGTCCAGCCCGCGCCACGGCCAGCACTCACTGAAGCTTGCTGTCTGCCGCAGCACTTCCTGTTGGCGTCCTCTGAAAAATGACCACTGTCAACAGAGGTGACTTTAAAATGTACAGACGACCCACTGAGTCACCAGCGGGCAAGCTGGTCCAGTGTGCACTGACCAGTAAGGGCCGTGGACATCGTGGCGTTTGTTACACTCTTGGGAAAGGCTCAGCTCACGGTTCTGGGAGCACACACACGTGCTGAGCTCACGCCCGGTTCTCTGGGGGAGCGCGCATGGATGTTCGCTCTGTGAGAGCCAGAGGGAATCCAGCGGCTGGGCTGCGTTAAAGGCTGTGCATCTGCTGTTTGCTTCTCCGCTTGCTGCTGCCTGTTGGGAAAACAAAAACAGAAATGAATGAGAACCAGCCATCGTGGAGGGGAAGGGAGGCTGCGGAGCCGGCGCTGCGAGCACGCTGCCACTGCACGGCCAGTCCCTGGGGCCAAGAGAGGCCATGGCAGAAAATAACTCAGCTTGGGAAAAGGTGGGGAAGGCAGGACTCCTCTTACTCTGCTGCCTGGGAGCTTTGGGCTGGACCTGGAGAATAGACCCCAAGAATAGCTGCTGGAAGGGAAGACTGATTTCAGAACTACTTAGTTGCCCTTAGGAGCATCCTCTACGGCTGCTTGACCAGTGAGCAGGATGACTGGACACAGAGTTAAAAAAGACTGTCTGGAGAGGATGGGGCCCATCCCAGTCTCACTGTGCCTGAATGGCAGCTCACTGAGCAGTCAGCTTGCAGCCCAGAGGGTCCACTAACTGGATGCTGTTAATAAAAGAAGTCTGCTTCCTGATGGCAGAACGTAGCTTTAAAGAAATAGCAAAATTCAAAGTATGCTTATCTAAGTAGCTGAGAGAAATCCTAAGAATCCATGGGAATACAATTAAAATGGAAGTTTATTTTGGTACAAAAACTAGTTTTAATCTATGACTTTTTTTTTACATTGGACATTTTCAATCAACTTTCTAAAAATATTTATTTATTAAATTTTAAAGTCAGATTTGCAGAAAGAAGGAGACACAGAAATATCTTCCATCCTTTGGTTCACTTCCCAAGGGACTGCAAGAGCCGGAACTGAACCGATCCAAACTCAAGAGCCAGGAACCTCTTCCAGTTCTCCCTCGTGGGTGCAGGGTCCCCAGGCTTTGGCCTTTCCTCCACTGTTTTCCCAGGCCACAAGCAGGGAGCTGGATGGGAAGCGGGGCTGCGGGATTAGAACCGGCGCCCATATGGGATCTTGGCACATGTGAGGTGAGGACTTTAGCCACTAGGCTACCATGCCAGTCCCAATCAACTTTTTAAAAAAGATTTATTTCAGAGGAAGAGTTAGAGAAAGGGAAAGAGGAAGAAACAGAGAGTGAAATATATGTCTTCCATCTGCAGAGTCCCCAAATGGCTGCAATACCCAGAACTGGGCTAGGCTGAAGCCAGGAGCCAGGAGCTTCTGACTCTCCCAAGGAGGTGACAGGGGCCCAGGCAAACACGGCCACCTGCTGCTTTCCCAGGTGCGTTAGTGAGGAACTGGATGAGAGGTGGAGGAGTGTGGATGACACAAACTGGTGCTCGCATGCGATGCTGGGGTCCCAGGCAGCAGTTCCACCTGCTATGCCACGGCACCGGCTTCTCTCTGAGCTTTCAGGTGATCCCTTAAAACGGAGTCACTTCTAGACTTGAAGCCACCTTCTCCATCCTTCCTGTTGGGCCTGGGGACGAGAATTGTGCTCTTGGTGATGGAGACAAATGGAGAACCAGCAGGTGACAAATCCAAGGCCACGTTAATGAAGTGACTTGAACTCTACAGTCAGTGCCAAATCCTCAGCCACGACTTCTGCTGCTGCCTTGAGTTACCTCCATAGTTAAAAGACAATAATCTACCTCCATTCTTTTTTTTTTTTTAATTTTCACCTTAAGTTTTAAGAACGTGTCAGCTTGCTCACACGCCTGCTTTGTGCGGAGGCTCCCAGCTCTCTGTCTTGGCCCAAGTGGACCTCACAGCCAGCCGGTTGCTTTGTTTTGTTTGCCCTTGGGGGTTGCACTTGTCAAATCCACCGCAGCTGCGCGTGCGCCCCCAGTGGCGCAGCTGCGCGTGCGTGCCCCCAGTGGCGCAGCT